CTTCAGTGAAACAAAGAGAACTGACATTCACCAGGCCATTCAGATAAGTAAATATCTTAAGTGGCACGAAAGCCTATATAAATAAATAAATCGGTCAGTCAAAAATAATTTTAAAGAAAATAACAGTAAGAAAAAGAAAAAACAGATAAGCAATTAGCTAAAATGACCCTGGATCAATTCGCGCAAGTTTAAATTTTGTCTGTGTATTCCCCACCTATATATCAATAAAACAAAACAACAACCATGTTTAGATTTGAATGCAATTTCATAAAATTTGAATGTTTTTACATTTAAAGAAAAACTTAAAATAAATATAAGCTTGGCTTCTAAAAATAACATTTTTAAAAGCTGACATAAATAATTACTTAAACATTAAAATTTTTGTAAATTTTTATACCCAGCAAGGTTAGTTGTGAGTTTATCTTCTGAAGCGTTCGTAATAACCATTGTTGTCGTCAGCCATTTCACATTACTACAAATTTAGTCGTATTTATATTATAATATTTTTCAGAATGAAGTCAATAAGTCAAAATAATCTGTTTAACTAGATTTTTCTTAAAACCGTATAGAATTATTTAAAACGTGAAAGAATAGTAGGTTTGCTGAAGAATTATTATTATGAATAATAATGGAAATATTGGAAAATTTTTCAAATGTTTCTCTCGTAGACAGCTCTATATAGCTATGTCTAGAATAGGTAATTCAAATATAATTAATATAATGGCAAAAGGGAGAAAAAATCTAGATGTCTTCCTGAAAATGTTGTTTATATAGAAATTTTAGCGACGTAAGAAAACTTCTATAAGAATGTTTCTCTTTTTGTAGGACGGGTATTGGGTTAGTATTTGATTAGTATTTTATTAGTATTTACAAACTGAAGTGTAGTTTCAAATCGACGGAGAAGTTGGAGTAAAATGGATAGTTGAATTTTTTTTTTATAATTATTTTTTTTTTTTTTAGCAATGAAATAACGGCAAATGAGCCGCTCAAAAAATAACAAAAATAAGGAACATTTTGGTGGGAACCAATCTTTGAAGATTAACTATTTATTACACTTTTTTTCTACCGACCATATATATGTCACAATCTGTTATATAGGAATAAAGTGTTGCTACCGATACTTGAGTTTGAACATAGATCGCCAGTGAGCAAACACAGGCGATCCCATTATTGAATTATGACTATAGAGGGAACGCATATATGTGAGATAGCGTGACGTCTAATTGATCACCATTTCTAGCCTATCTTCTGTTACTATACGGACCGCTATTTCTCCTTTAACTTCTATTACAATACGGCCCGATAATCTCTATTCTCTATTCGGATCACTATTCAGTGTTTACTTTTCGAGCGAGTATTATCGAGCAAGTACTATTAGTGCGAGTGATATTCGAAGGCGTCTGACACCAGTATTGTTCAACGGCGTTACTATAGTTGTATCTGCGATTACATAGTCTCTACTACAATGAGCATTACAAATGTGACAAGTATTCGTTGACATTACAAAAGTGGCAAAACAAAAACAATCGAAAAATGTTTTTATATATATTTTTTAGAAGGGGCAGCTGTTCAGTATATAAATACAGTATCAAATCGATACATAACTTCTTAAAGAGTTATCTTTGTTTTTATTTGCAAATGTCTTGTTTGAAACTGTGATTACATCACTAAAAATTGTGTACTGATAATTGGGGAAAAGACAACATCAGTCATAGGGGAGGGAAAAGTCTAATGGATGCTACCATGCAAAATATATTCCAAAAATAATTCTTTATTTTTGACGAGCAAACCAGTTAAACAAAATAGTGTCGAAGCGCCCTGTCTTAGAATACTCGAGGTCTAAATTAAAGTGATACGGGAAAAGTTCCTGAATATTTGGATTAAGAATATCCAGAGTGGAATTATTTTCCAACAATAAATAAATAAATAATCGTCCTGGCCTGTCTATTTGAAACTCAATGATAGCTTATTAAGAATAAGTCTCTCACAGGTGCCTATATTTGCATAGATTAATTTAGTAAATACTATTAAAAACGACTGATATTTTGTGTTGATAACCTTTAATGGCCGACTCTTAGAAATTACAAATAAATATTCTCGAAGAGGAAATTCGGCCAGGAAGTATTGTCCAAGCTTTCGACTTTTTTAAGTCACCATCAGGGTAGGTAGAGATAATTGGGCTGTTTTGTAGAACTAATACCTTAAAGAGGACTACGTCACAAATATTAGTTATGCGAAACTCACAAAATTATCAGTAGGTGCAAAAATCATCTGATAATAATGTCGACTTAGTAAAATATACTATAATTTTTTACAGCATTATAACAATTATATCAAATTCTACAGGACATGATGTCAGGGGTCGGTTTTATATATAGTTATTCAGTAATAAAGTCATCCCCCAAAATTTCTGGGAAGCGTATTGCTAGAGGACGGAAAGCGCGAGACGGAAATCCGAACGCATATTGGGATAGCGAAAGATGCTTTTCAAAAGCTAAGCAAAGTATTAAGAAACAGAAAATTTTTTTTTTATATTTCTGACGAACTTTCCTTTATGGTACCTAGACTTTATGAATTTAAATGCAGTACTAGATTGGCAGCTAGGTCTCGTCAATTTACAGTTGAAATGGCTTAGATGTAACCGTAAGTTCTATGCTAACAGATTCTTTTATCGCACTTTTCACGTAACTTTGATCTTCAAAAATCAAAATTTTAAAATTTCAATCGTTATCTTCTGTTTTCTTAATTCTCGTTCTTTTATTATCCTCTCTCCTTGATAGTATTTTTTTTCGTCACTCATACTCTCTAATACTCAGTAACCCGCCTTATGCTTTAGTGGCTTTATTGCCTTGCTTGGGGTGAAGTGATTAAAAGAAAAATAAAAAAAGAAAGAAAAGAGTACATTTTGTGTCGATTAATTTTAATGATATACTTTTCTAAGTTATGAATAATCTTTCTCAAACAAGAAGAAAATCCCGTCAGAAATTGTCAAGTTCATTTCTGAAGAAAAGTACAGGAAATATGGGCCAAACTTTCGACTTTCTTACGTCTTCATCAGGGTAGGTAGAGACAATTGTTGAGTTTAGTAAAATTTTGAAATGGTGTGATTTTTTTTTAAATAAGCTGTTAGAAGTACGTGTGTTCCAGAAGTTTTGAACCTTATTTAGGATATACATTTATTTATTTCAAAGAAATATTAAACTTTAATCTCCTTCAAAGTTGGATCCTCTTACTTCAATGCACTTATAGTAGCGATCCATCAACTTCGTGAAGTTCGCCGCCTTAACCAGGTATTGAACTCACACACTTTAGGCCCTGTCACTGGATGTAACTAACGCCTTTATCCACTGTGCCATATGTTCTTGAGTAAGGGGAATTAACAGGAGATAACTGATAACTGACATCCATTAGACATGGCACGTGGACCTAGAACAGTCTACCCCACCGTTCAAAATAAAGGGTTCAGTTCGACATTCCAACCACCTGAAGAAGGCCGGAGCGTACAACGGCCGATACGTTGTGATAAATATGACAACAAAGATGAGAACAATAGTCCAAATAATATAAATAGTGTACAAAACACCTCATCTCAGAAATACAGACAGATACATTTTTGCCCAGTTTAACATTGTTGTAACCTAGGAAAGGTTACTGAATAGAATAATCAAATGAAGGTTGGTAATGAATAATACTTAAGACAAGAACAACACATACAAGATTCGCCAGCAGTGCACAGAACTAGTCAACTGCTAGAATTGAGTCAAGTGAATTCCACAGTGAATCTCCAACGGTCAACCAACATACAGTATTCACTACTGTATTTATAGGAATGGGGACATACCCATTATCGTCCATAGGTATACTATAACAAACACAAAACTTTATTGCATAGCGAACTTCCAAATTGTCTTCAGGTCCTGACTGAATTCTGCTAACTTATGTTTAGTTGAATTTGTTCAAAGAGCTTCTAGAATCGTCCCTTCAATCTGGAATAACAAAAGTTGGAAAGTCAACTTATTAAATGTACATTAATTAATAAATGTAGCTAATTATATACTAAAACGACAATAATTTAGGAAAATTATAATTGCCTCTCAAAACAAAAACGTCGCAAAACTTCTTGAATGCACCTCGTGATAAAAGCACATGGAACTCATTTGGGGCTCATAGAACTGGGTGTTGTGACGTAAGCAAAGAGTGTTGTGACGTAAGCAAAGTGGTGTGACGTAAGCAAAGTGGTGTGACGTAAATGATGTGTGACGTTCGACATTTTTTATATATATTTAAGGATACGTTCTCTCAATTTATAATTTTTTTTTTTTAGTTAATGATGGTGTTTTCGCTGTATCAATATTTCTTCAAGGATCATAAGTTTTACTGTTTAATTTTTCTAGTATTTTGGTATTGTTCGAGAGTTGCTGCCAAATGTTACTATTATCCATATTCTGTTTATAAATGCGTCGTCTGATTCCACTATGGTCGGTCATTAAAATGTCTTTCGATTTTAATAGAATTTCCCTTAAATAACATTTGTTGATTAAATACACAGTAAAATATATTATAAGATATGTTATGAAATATATTATAAAATATATTATAAAATATGTTATAAAATTTATTAAGAAATATATTATAAAATATGTTATAAAATTTATTATGAAATATATTATAAAATGTTATAAAATGTATTATAAAATATGTTATAAAATATATTATAATCTATATTACAAAATATATTATAAAATATAAAATATATTATAAAATACATTATAACTCACACAAAATATGTAATATGAACTTTTTTCTTTCGATTTTAAATATATGTATTTTTGAGAACTGTATCTCACAGTGGAAAGATTTTGTGCAACGTGTTTCGTCTTGTAAAAGTACTTTATTCCGATTAAGTACTTCTAGAGCTGAGGTTGACAGCCTTTTGCTAACTATGTGCTGACTTCGGGTTTTAAAAAAATTCAGTGTGCCAACGGCATACGTATTTTTAT